TGTGGAAGGAGCGGCCGCTCCTATGAATGGCTTCTTCCTCTCTTTTCCCTGCCAACCTGAATGTACGTTTTTGCCCCTGCCCGTCGTGGTTCCGTTGCTTTTCGCCGGTCGCGTTCCCACCTCTTGCTGCAACGGGGGTACCAGAAAGCATTCCCCAACAGCAGTTCCACGCCGTTTGCGGCCATTGCAGGGATACTTGCGGGCCATCCTTGGTCGTGTTTCGTGTTCCTGCCTGACGGGAGACCAGGCCGAAAGCTGTAGTCTTGAGCTGGGGGCGGGCGCCTGCCCCCTCTTGCGGTGGGTGGTTGGCCTTGCCTGTTACAGGGGTTTGTTACTTCTATATGCGGCAGCGTTCCCGTGTCGCCGCTGATCATGCTGGTGGCCTCCCTGGGGGTACTGCTGGCGATCACTGCCGCAACCACCATCGTGTTCCAGAGTGCACCGCGACCGTTGCCGGACGCCTTCGGCACTTCGCCCTGGAACGTTGGCGGAGCCTACATCAAGAGCTTCAATGTGTTCACCATCGGCGTCGCAGCAGCCGTGTGCGTCGGCGTGACTGCTCTTCCTGCCTGATGATTACTACTTTCGGCAAGGCCTTTTACGGGGTGCTGGGGCCTACTAAGAGGGTTCTGAATTTGGTGGGATCAACACCACCGTGATTAAACGCGTGGCGTTGTTCTCATCGGTGCGATGTAATGCGCAATGGCCGGATACTGATCGGCACGACAACGGCAATTCATCACAGCCACGGTTATGGCCTGCTGTTCTTTCTGCTGCGCCAGGTTGATGCCACTCCGTGTGTGGCGGCATGGGACCTCTACACTTCTACTGCGCCATTGTCGGCGGGTTCGCGCTGGGTTTGATAGAGCAGTTCGATCTGGTGGAACATGGCGGTCGAGTGGAATGACGTAATCTCCTTCATTCTCTCATTCTCCCTGATCCTTTTCTTTTCCTTGTCTCTGGCCGCAGAGGACTATTCCACGGAATAGGTGCCCGGGGCAAAGGCGATAGCAATTAATATACCAGAAGTTTCTAGAGAAATTTAACGGTTCGTCGGCCGGGGCGGCACGGACTGCTAGTTGTCAGTGCGCAGCAACAATCGAGTCTGTTTGGCTACCTGCTGATCATCTCGGGTCCATTTTGGGTTCATGTTGTGGCAGGGAGTCGGATTCGCCATCACCATCGTCCATGCACCACCGGTTTTGTAAGCTGGGCGATTCTGGCAATCAGTCCTTAACCTGGTTGTGGGGATTGCACGGGCCTGCTATCCGGTGGGGACAATCGGCTTCTTTCGGCATTGGGGGCCTACCCCTGGCATCTGACCTCGAACGCTCCCTATGAGCATCTGCGACCGAGGCCCATAACCGACCTTTCGGCTGGCCGTTCTGTCGCCGCGCTGCCGTGGGTGTGGTGCTGCCGTGGAGGAGTTAAAAGAGGAAATGTTAAAACGTGTGGCGCTGGTGTTGGCGTGGTGTTGCAAAACCGGTTCCGCGACGATATTTTCGTGCTGGTGTCGTTCGGGTTCACCATCATCTCGTTCAACGTGTTCCTCAACCTGAGGAGCGTGACCCCTGGTCGCCTTCGGATTCACGAATTGGCCAGGTCCCCCGTCATCGGATCGAATACGCTCACCGGGGAGCTGGAGTTTCTCGGGCTGGTCATTGGCTTCCTGGTCATCATCCTGGGGATCTCGTGGTTAATAGTCACGTCGTCATTCGGCAGGGTGCTGACGGACATCCATGGAGGACGGCATGCCAATCGAGGTTGTTCTGGCTACCGGGCGACGCACTTACAGATGCACGGATGGACCATATCGGCCATGATGGCCGGGCTGGCAGGCGGGCTGTTCTCAAGCTGGACGACCTTCGTGGACCCCAACTCATTCGTACTGCTGGAGTCGATGCTGCTTGTGGCCATTGTGATCCTGGGCGGGCTGGCCACCATCTGGGGATCGCTGCTGAGGGCGATGGCCTTCGTGCTGCTGGAGGAGGGGATGCGGTTCATTCCCTTCCTGCCCGTTGAATACGTCGGCCAGTCGCGGCTGGTGGTGCTGGGAGTGATGCTGGTCCTGCTGATGCTGTTCCGGCCTCAGGGCCTCGTTGGGAGGTTCAAGCTATGAGCGCTGATCAGGCCCCGGCCATCCAGACGGTAGACATCTCCAAGCTGTTCGTCCGCGGTGATGCGTAGAAGCATCAGAGACATGACGCTAAAAAGCGCTGGACGAGCCCAAGAGAGGAGGAAACGCAGCAGCGATCGGGCGAAGGGGAGGGGAATAGTCGACCACTGGTGAACTGCTGAGCGGCGTGCGGCCAACCTGCGACTGTGCGGCATGTGATCATCGACGGGGTCGTGTGACTGAGGTGGTCAGAGGCGTACGAGAACCCGACCACAGCATGACCCGCACGTTCCCGAGTGCGCGCGGTTCGAGCAGATCACGGTGTGGGACAACATCATGGTGTGTGGCTGAGCTGCCCGGGGCCTGCTGCCTCTTGTCGCTGCTGGAGCGGTGCGTGCGCGCGCATCGCCAGAACTGGCTAGAGCATCTGGAGACGGTGGGCCTGTGGGACAAGCGTCGCGAACTTGCGATGAACCTTTCCTACGGTCAGCGCAAGCTGCTGGAGATCGGGCGGGCCATGGCGCTGGAGGTGCAGACCTACCTGTTACCCTGTTCGATGAACTCCTTCGCGGCCTGTTCGCCCTCGGAATGCTGGATCGGGTGCTGGGAATAATGAAGCAGATGCGGGAAGACGGATACACCATCATTTTCGTCTCGCACAACATGGACATCGTGCGGGAGATGTCGGACCACCTGATCGTGCTGGACAGCGGAAAGCTGCTGATCGAAGGCGAGGTGGAGGATGTGCTGAACCGGCAGGAAGTGATCGAAGCGTACGCTGTTGTGCTGAAACATGTTGCCGCAATCCTATCTCGGCCTCCAGCGTAATATTAAAAGCCAGTATTCAATGCCAACGTGGCGACCCCAATCAACAGTCTAAGGACAGCAGAAATCGGTTGCCAGAGAGCGGTTCACTTACTAGCGCGAACAGACATACGTCCCCGAGGACAGTCTGCTGGATGCTGACCGATTTGTCGTGTCGTACGTGCGTGGTGGAGGGAGCAGGAAAGCGCCTGATTCGGTGTGTCGCTGGGCGTGGCGAAACGGGGAGACGGTGGCGGGGTGTGATGGGTGCCACCATGGAGCCGGAAGTGTCGACGGTCTCTGAGGCATCAATGGGCTGGCGCCAGTGGTGGATGGACGGGTCTGGTGGCGCCAGAGGCCGCTGGCGGCGGCGACCCACGAGATCGTGCGGGAGGGCATCGCCTTCGTTCCGCAGGGCAGAAGGGTCTTCACGCACCTGACCATTTCTGAGAACCTGGAGATGGGCTGCCTGCACCTGGGCGACCGCGTTGAGAAGCAGAGGCGGATGGACTCGGTGATGGAGCTGTTCCCGGTCCTGTACGACAAGCGCCGCGACCTGGGCAGCCAGATGTCGGGCGGGCAGCAGCAGATGCTGGCCCTGGGCCGGGGGCTGATGGCGAACCCCGACGTCCTGCTGCTGGACGAGCCGACGCTGGGGCTGGCGCCGATCATCGTGAAAGAGGTCTTCGAGAAAGTGTCGGAGATCAGCGACTCGCTGGGCACCACGATCATGGTCGTCGAGCACAACATCCGGGGCGTGCTGGGCATCGCCAACCGGGGTTACGTACTGGACAAGGGTCGCGTGGTCTATGAGGGAACGCCGGACAACATCCGAGACTCCGACATACTGACTCGGGTATTCTTGGGCGAGGTGGGCGAGGTGGGCGAGGAGGAGGAGTATGAGCAGGGGTAGGCCCTCAACCGCGGTACTGGGTGTGGTTTGGATCGCCTGGGGCTGGGGGCAAGGAAGCACGGCTGTGCGCCCCTACAAGACTGGACGGTAATGCCCAGTCTGACCAACTTGCTTGACACGCCCGATGGGGCGTGTTTTTCTTTGGCTGCAATTAAGTAGCTAGTAAATGCATTTCAGAGGAGGGCAGCCATGGCTGAGAAGCTGGTTGGAGTTGCGGTCAGCGGGCCGACGATTCGAGAGATACAGGCGATGATTGTGCGGGCGGAGGAGCTGGGGATACACGCAGCGTGGATGACGACCGGCGGGGCGCGCCCGGACAGCATCACGGCGTTCGCCGCCACCGCCGGGCTGACGGAGCGGATCAAGCTGGGGACGTCCATCGTGCCTACCTACCCGCGCCACCCGCTGGTGATGGTGCAGCAGGCGCAGATCGTGGCGCAGCTGGCGCCGGGGCGTTTCCGGCTGGGCGTGGGGCCGAGCCACCGTCCGACCATCGAGGCCATGGGCATCGAGTTCAACGCGCCGCTGGGCCACCTGAAAGAGTACTTGCAGATCCTCAAGGCGATCATGCAGCAGGGGCGGGTGGACTTCGACGGCGAGCATTACACGGCCCACGACGGCATCCCGGAGCCGCTGGACATCGAGATCATGGGGTCGGCGCTGCGCAAGGGTTCGTTCGAGCTGTGCGGCGCGGAGTCGGACGGGGCGATAAGCTGGATCTGTCCGTTCAACTACCTGCGCGACGTGGCGCTGCCGGCGATGCAGGCCGGGGCGCAGCGGGCCGGGCGGGAGACGCCGCCGCTGATCGCCCACGCGCCGGTGTGCGTGCACGACAACGCCGACGAGGTCCGGGCGGCGGTGCGGGCGCAGGTGATGAACCCACGGCTGCCCTTCTACCAGCGGATGCTGGTGGACGCGGGCTACCTGGAGGCCACCGAGGGCACCTGGAGCGACGGGATGATAGACGGCGCGGTGATCTGGGGCGACGAGGAGAGTGCGCCGAGGGCGTGCAGCGGCTGTTCGTCCCGCCCATGATCGGCTTAACACACTTCGCGGCATGGTTTTGTTATGAGGCTTTGGGTTGCTGAGCATTCCTGTGCGAAGCGATCCGGTGATGTCAAAGGACTCACCCTTGGTATCGCCCATAAAGGCCGTTGCTAGATGTGTCCTTCACACCGTTGTGCAGCGGTTAAATCGGCACGATAGTCATGAGTTGGCAGTAATCGATTGCCACGCGTCCGTCACTGCGACGTGAGATTCGGAGCCCTCGTCGAATCCCCGATGGAGACGTAGACCGCCGCACCGTCAAGAATCCAAGCGGTCTGACCATGCCCTGAATCTGTCACCGACCCCGGACTCCTGTGATGCGGTGCAGGACTCGTGGCGATTGCCCCGCCCCGCATTCCTGGGTCACGCAAGCAACTGCGCGTGTTGGCTCTGCCTTTCTTTCCTCCAGCATCTCTCCGCGCGTTTTCGAACCAGAGCAAACGATGTCCGCTTCAGCGGACGTGGTCCTTATAGCGGAGAACGTGGCGTCAACGTATTCGTCGCCAAGGTTCTTACGGAGTAGTTTCCAGCCAGGAACGGTGGGTTGCCATATGACTCGGCGGCGGGCCATTCGGCTCGGCGCTCTCCGGGTCGGAGAGGTCGAGGATGCGTCGTCTGCTGGATGGTGTCCATGGGAGTGAGGATGGGTGTCTAGCGATAGTGGACGCCATTGGAAGGTGCCACTGGATGTAGCCGATCCACATGCGGTGCGGGCGAGCTCGCGTGCGTAGGGGTTATTTCGAGCCCAGCATCTGGTTGGGTTGCACCCTGGGGTCATTTCGTCCCAGCTTCTAGCTCGTTGAAATCGATGACCCGCTTTTCCAGGTCCAGCGAGAACGGAGGGGCGGTGTAGAGGAAATTCCGCTCCGCACACGCAGGCGGTGGTCGAGAACCTTCACGGAGGCCAACGTACTGGAACGCCCTCGAGGCGGGTGCGGGCGGCGATCTCGTTGCCGGAGTCGGCGAGGTGTTGACCTCCTGCTGGGCGGTGTCCCACTCACGACGAGCGGTCCATCACCACGGGCTCGACGACAGCTCGATGTCGGCGGGCCGGTGTAGTGGGCGCCGAGCTGGGAGCGCTTGAGGCGTCGAGCGCGCGCTCGAGAGGGTGCCGAGATGGACGGCTCGATATTGCGCCAGTCTTTCTGGGTAGCCTGCTCCAGGTAATACAGGGCGGTCAGCGTAAACTCGACGGTGTCGACCGATCTGAAGAGGTCGCCGTTGAAGTGGGCCACTTGGTCGGCTCCAAAGAGGCCGCCGCCGGCCATCTGACCGAACAGGTTCTGCGTCGCCTGGTCGAACATCTTGGGATTGTGAAAGTGCTGGCGGACGATCTGAGTGAAAAGGCTGTTGGGCAACAGGCCGGCGTCCTCGGCACAGAGGCAAAACATGATCTGGTTCAGGTAGCGGGCGAGCTTTTCGGAGTCGGCGCTGTGTTGCTCCATGTCCTGCACGATGGAGTAGAAGAGATTTGCGGTCTCCTTGGTGGCTTCATCCAGCGTCCGATCGGGACGGAACTCGGCAGGGGCGTGGAAGGCCCATCTCAGCTTGTCGAGTTGCTCCTTCTGGCCCAGGGCGGCGACCGGTATGACGTGCTGTTCCGTTGCCATACCGGGGAAATTGGTCTGGATGCGGATGGTCTGGAAAGAGGACACGATGAGCAGCGGCGGTGTCTTGAGGTGGACCTGGTACCTGAGGAGCTGGTTCAGGGCGTCGTCAAGGTCTGAGTCGCTGCCCTTGAACTCCCAGCCGAAGTGGCCTTCCAGATAGGGATCGGCCTTACCGGCACCGGCCTTCTTCTCGAAGGTGAAAGCATCCGGGTTGGCGTAGTCGGCCACCTTGGGATGCTCCACCAGGACGCAAATATCATCAAAGAAAGACTGCGCCGCCTGGCTCTCGCTGAAAGGGGTGTTCTGCCACTTGGCTATGAATTCGTGGGGCTGCAATGGAAGACCTCTTAGAAATTATCTCAAAAGGCGTTCGACGAGGCCCGTCTGCGGAATAAGCAAGGAAACGGGGGTTTGGATTCCCGCCTGCGCGGGAATGACGGGAGGTCTGCCGTCGGTTTTGAGATAGTTACTTAATCCTAAGTTACCAGTTTGCGGGGGTTTGGATTCCCGCCTGCGCGGGAATGACGACTCATAGGGCCCCCGGCGGTTCCCGGTGCGCGGGTAGACGGGGGTTTGGATTCCCGCCTGCGCGGGAATGACGACTCATAGGGCCTCCGGCGGTTCCCGGTGCGCGGGTAGACGGGGGTTTGGATTCCCGCCTGCGCGGGAATGACGACTCATAGGGCCCCCGGCGGTTCCCGGTGCGAGGGTAGACGGGGGTTTGGATTCCTGCCTGCGCGGGAATGACGACTTACAGGGCCTCCTGCGGTTCCCGGTGCGAGGGTAGACGGGGGTTTGGATTCCCGCCTGCGCGGGAATGACGACTCATAGGGCCTCCTGCGGTTCCCGGTGCGAGGGTAGACGGGGGTTTGGATGCGCCAAGCCTCGGCGGTTCCCGGGCGGGGAGATGGGGGTTTGGATTCCGCCTGCGCGGGAATGACGACTCATAGGGCCTCCGGCGGTTCCCGGTGCGCGGGTAGATGGGGGTTTGGATTCCGCCTGCGCGGGAATGACGACTCATAGGGCCCCCTGCGGTTCAAGACGAGATTGCCCTGTTGTCACCCCCCTATTTTCCCTGACATTTCCTGACATTCTCTGACATTTTTCCTGTGAGCGTGGCCTCGGGAGGACTTTTGGGCAATCCCCAGCCAAGATTCCGGCGAATAGTCGTGTGCTTTGCGCAGGCATACAGGAATTATGGTAAAGAGGTGTCATGAGGCTTGGCAAGGGGGAACTGTCATCAAACTATTCACGGATGTGGCACGGTATTGGCGGCACACTGAGGGTACACGATTGTTCCGACCGTTTTGCCAATGCCACGCTGCGCTCATAATATGGGCGCAACGTTCAGGACACTATTGCCGGGAGAAGTCCCCGGGGCTCGGAGAAAACCATGAAATACGACGTGGTAATCGTTGGCGGCGGGTCGGCGGGGTGCACGCTGGCGGCGCGGCTGTCGGAGGATCCCAACCGCTCGGTGCTGCTGCTGGAGGCCGGGCCGGACTATCCGGACTTCGAGTATCTGCCCGACGAGATCAAGTACGGCTACAACAACGGGGCGTCGGAGATCGACTCGCCGTTCAACTGGTCGTACACCGCCCGGGGCAGCGCGCAGCAGTCGCAGCCCATGAACATCGCGCGGGGCAAGGTGATCGGCGGGTCGGGGTCGGTGAACGGGCAGGTGTTCCTGCGGGGGCTGCCCGAGGACTACGACTCGTGGGCCGAGCAGGGCAACACCGAGTGGAGCTATGTCAACGTGCTGCCGTTCTTCCGGAAGCAGGAGACGGACATGGACGTGCGGGACGACTTCCACGGGACGGAGGGTCCGATCCCGGTGCGCCGGGTGCCTCGGCAGGAGTGGCTGCCAGTGTACGAGGCCTTCCACCAATCGACGCTGGATGAGGGGTTTCCCTACGATCCCGACATGAACAACCCGGAGACATCCGGCACGGGCGCGGTGCCCATGAACAATCCGGGCAACATCCGGATGAGCGCGGCGCTGTCGTACCTGAACCCGGCGCGGCACCGGCTGAACCTGACGGTGCGCGGTGGCGTGCAGGCGCGGCGGGTGGTGTTCGAGGGAACGCGAGCGGTGGGCGTCGAGGTTGAGAGCGGGCGGCGAGGTGTTCACCGTCGAGGGCGAGGAGATCGCGCTGTGCGCCGGCGGACTGGCGTCGCCGCAGCTGCTGCTGCTGTCGGGCGTGGGCCCAGCGGAGCACCTGCGGGAGATGGGGATCCCGGTGGTGCTGGACTCGCCGGGGGTCGGCAAGAACCTTCGCGACCACCCGATGGCGCTGGTGGACCTGGAGCCGCGGGAGGGCGTGGCGCTATCGGAGGACGTGCCGCGCATCCAGACCGGTCTACGCTACACCGCCGAGGGGTCGCACCTGCGCAGCGACATGCAGATCACGCTTACGTCGTACGCCGGGGTGGGCGGCGGCGATCCCATCGCCGGGGCGAGCCGGAGCCGGAACGGGAAGACGCTGCACTTCACCGTGATCCTGGAGCTGGCCGAGAGCTCGGGGGAGCTGACACTGGCGTCGACCGACCCAGCCGTGGGGCCGAATATCGACTACCGCTACCTCGAGGACGAGTTCGACGTCCAGCGAATGCGGGAGGCCATCCGGCTGTGCGCGCGGCTGGCCGAGCATGAGAAGTTCCAGCCGCTGGTCAGCGGTCTGGCGGCGCCCGGACCGGCCGACCTGGAGTCGGACGAGGCGCTGGACGCGTGGATTCACGCGAACATCGGGACGACCTTCCACTCCTGCGGATCGGCCCGGATGGGTCCGGACGGGGACGCCATGGCGGTGGTTGACCAGCATTGCCGGGTGCGCGGCGTCGAGGGCCTGCGGGTGGTTGACCTGTCGGTGGCACCGAACGTGGTGCGGGCAACACGAACGCGACGGCGATCATGATCGCGGAGCGCGCGGCGGTGTGGTTCTGAGGGGGGCAGTGCCCCGCGATACTCGAAAATAGACCGTAGCCAAGAGCCGGTGGACCGGCATTCAGGGCATTCAGGAAGGAAGCAAACATGGGAATTCTGAACGACGACATGAAGCGGGTGGTGCGGCAACAGCGGTTTGGGTTTATCGCGACTGTCTGCCCGGACGGGACGCCGAATCTCTCGCCGAAGGGGACCACGGCGGTGTGGGGTGACGACCACCTGGTGTTCGCCGACCTGGCGTCGCCGACGACTATGGCGAACCTGCGGCACAACCCGGCGCTGGAGCTGAACGTGGTGGACGTGTATTCGCGCAAGGGGTACAGGTTCAAGGGAACGGTCAGCATCGTCGAGAAGGGCGAGGCGCTGTTCGACGAGATCTGTAACGCCTTCGACACCGGCACGCGAGGGGTGCACAAGGTGCAGCTGCCGGCGCGGTCCTACGTGCTGCTGAAGGTGGACCGGGCGCTGCCGCTGATCTCTCCGGCCTACACTCCGGAGACGACGGAAAAGGCGACGAGAGAGCAGTGGGCCGTCTACTGGGCGGACGTACACGCCGACCGGATGGCTGAACTGGAGGCGGAGGGGTAGAGTGCGGCCTCTGGCGGCGGGGCTGGCGTCTCTCAGGGGCGATGATGCCTGGGTCGTCTAGTGAGTCTTCTCACTTGCCAGCCTCTGCCATTCAGACCAATTTTGTGTGCTGAGAAATAAGACGCGATTGCGCTGATCGCAATGGACTTTGCCTTAAGAGGTCCTCTGTTTTATAGTAAGGGTTGACCCACTACTGCGAGCGGGCGTAACTCAGTGGCAGAGTGCTTGCTTCCCAAGCAAGACGTCGTGGGTTCGAATCCCATCGCCCGCTCCAACCATCCCCGACCCTCCTGACCATCGCTCAGAGGCCGGATTTCGCCCCTTTGGTGTTTGAATATTCATTGCCGGTCAGTGGGGCCTGTGGTAAATTACCGGCAATATTGAACCGGTCGATACAATACTAGGGAGATTTGCATGGCTTACGTCACGCCCCGCGAGGGCGAAGGGCCCGAGAGCCTGGTTAACCGCTTCCGGGCGTCGGTCCAGCACTCTGGAATCCTGCGAGAGCTCAAGGACCGCCGGTTCTTCCGGTCGAAGGCGCAGAAGGAGCGCTTGGCCGCGCAGCGAGCGGCACGCCGCCGCCGTCGCCAGAACCGCCGCAACCGATAGTAGCCGCTACCCGGCCCAAGACCGCGAACAGCCTGTCGCAGTAGGTCTCGGGCTCGACTTCAGTGGCCTGAAGCATGCACACTGAGCCTCCCTGCCCTTGCCGAGGCAGGGGGCTTTTGCTAGCATGAATTCTGCCGGAGGGATCGCATAGTGGTCTAGTGCGGGCGCCTGCTAAGCGCTTAACCTGCTATAACGGGTTCATGGGTTCGAATCCCATTCCCTCCGCCACCGGCTCAATTTCCCCATCGGCCTCTTGCTCGGATGATGGCTGTTTCAAGCATGAAACGGCCTTTTTTCATCATCCGATAAAACTGTCCCAAGCGTGGGAGCAGGCCAGGCAGTGCGCAGGGTGCCAGCGGGTACGACCAATCTGGAATGATAGGCCGTCCACCACGGATCAGGGGACACCAGATCCGCCGTGAGCCTGCCAGGGGCAGACCTCGACCAACCATCGGTTTCGCGGACGGCGGAATAAGGGCTACAATAGATGTGCCGCCCACTGCTGCGGAGGGATGGCCGAGTGGACGATGGCGGCGGTCTTGAAAACCGTTATGCAGGCGACTGTATCATGGGTTCGAATCCCATTCC